AAGAGTTGGGGTGGGTTGGGTTAAGTTGGGGTGGGGTGGGAGGGTCCTTACAGGTCAACTAGGGAATGGCTGGGGTGGGAGGGTCCTTACAGGTCAACCAGGGAATGGTTGGGGGTGGGAGGGTCCTTACAGGTCAACTAGGGAATGGCTGGGGTGGGAGGGTCCTTACAGGTCAACTAGGGAAGGGTTGGTTTGGAGTGCAATGGGACGTTCCTTGCAGGTCAACCAAGGAAGGGTTGGACTGGGAAGGTCCTTAAAGGGCAACCGGGGAATGTCTGGGTTGGAAGGTCCTTACAGGGCAACCAGGGAATGGTTGGGGTGGGAGAGTTCTTACAAGTCAACTAGGGAAGGGTTGGGTTGGGTTGGGGTGGGATGGGACGTTCCTTGCACATCAACCAAGGAAGGGTTGGATTGGGAGGGTCCTTACAGGGCAACCGGGGAATGTTTGGGTTGGAAGGGTCCTTACAGGGCAACCAGGGAGTGGTTGGAAGTCCTTACAGGTCAACAAGGGAATGGTTGTGTTGGAAAAGTCCTTAAAGGTCAACCAGGCAGTGGCTGGAAGTCCTTAAGGGTCAACAAGGCAATGGTTGTGTTGGAAAGGTCTTTAAAGGTCAACCAGGGAGTGGTTGGAAGTCCTTATAGGTCAACAAGGGAATGGTTGGGTTGGAAGGGTCCTTACAGGTCAACCTGGGAGTGGTTGGGGTGGAAAGGTCCTCACTGGTCAACCACGGAATGGTTGGGATGGGAAGGTCCTTACAAGTCAACCAGGGAGTGGCTGGGTTGTGTTTGGTTGGGCTGCGTTGGTCTGGTTTGGGAGGGTCCTCACAGGTCAACCAGGGAAAGATTGGGTTGGAAGGGTCCTTAAAAGTCAACCAGGGAGTGGTTGGAAGTCCTTACAGGTCAACAAGGGAATGGTTGTGTTGGAAAGGTCCTTAAAGGTCAACCAGGGAGTGGTTGAAAGTCCTTACAGGTCAACAAGGGAATGCTCGTGTTGGAAATGTCCTTAAAGGTCAACCAGGGAGTGGTTGGAAGTCCTTACAGGTCAACAAGGGAATGGTTGTCTTGGAAAGGTCCTTAAAGGTCAACCAGGGAGTGGCTAGAAGTCCTTACGGGTCAACAAGGGAATGGTAGTGTTGGAAAGGTCCTTGAAGGTCAACCAGGCAGTAGTTGGAAGCCCTTACAGGTCAACCAGGGAATGTTTGGGTTGGAAGGGTCCTTACAGGTCAAACTGGGAGTGTTTGGGGTGGAAAGGTCCTCACTGGTCAACCAAGGAACGGTTGGGTTGGGTCGGAAGGTCCTCACAGGTCAAGCAGGGAAGGATTGGAAGGGTCCTTAAAGGTCAACCAGGGAGTGGCTGGAAGTCCTTACAGGTCAATGAGGGAATGTTGTGTTGGAAAGATCCTTAAAGACAAACCAGGGAGTAGTTGGAAGTCCTTACAGGTCAATGAGGGAATGTTTGGGTTGGAAGGGTCCTTAAAGGTCAACCAGGCAGTGGTTGGAAGTCCTTACAGGTCAATGAGGGAATGGTTGGGTTGGAAAGGTCCTTGAAGGTTAACCAGGGAGTAGTTGGAAGTCCTTACAGGTGAACAAGGGAACAGTTGTGTTGGAAAGGTCCTTACAGGTCAACCCTCACCTTTGCCCTTCCCCTTCCCCTTCCCTTTATTCCCGGAGCTCCGCGCATGGTTGGGCGGATCCTCGAAGCTCTTCGTCTTCGCGTTGTACGCCTGCGGAGAGAAGTGATCAGAGCCCTCGGACCCAAGGAGCTCTTCCACCACCCGAACAAAAGCAGAGACGCTCACACAGCCCTCACCTCCAGGAAATAGAACCTGTCGAGCCCTCCGGCCGAGTAATCCTGGATGCTCTCGGTCAGGTCCTCGCCGTACACCACGGTGCAGCGGCCCTGCACGGCGCGGAAGTCCACCGTCGTCTCCTCGTCGCTCCAGTAGAGGAGGTTGATGTCGGCGTGGTAGGTGGCCTTCATGGATTTGTGCGTGTTTTCGGGGCTGCAAAGAGCTCCCGGTTACGGGAGGTGCTGGGGGTGGGCCCTGACCACAAGACCTGAGCGACCTCCTCTGCTCAGCACCGTTCCTCCATACTTAGCGTTAAGGTCCTTTGCAACCCAACCCAAATCATTCCATGATTGTTTGATCTTCAAGGACCCTTCCAATCCAAACCCAACCCAACCATTCTGCAGTTCTTTGATCTTCAAGGACCCTTCCAATCCAAACCCAACCCAACCATTCTGCAGTTCTTTGATCTTCAAGGACCCTTCCAATCCAAAGCCAACCCAACCATTCCAGAGTTCTCTAATCTTCAAGGACCCTTCCAACCCAACTCATTCTTTGATCTTCAAGGATCCTTCCAAACCAACCCAACAAAACCCATTCTAACATTCTTTGATCTTCAAGGACCCTTCCAAACCAACCCAACCATTCTACAGTTCTTTGATCTTCAAGGACCCTTCCAACCCAACCCAAAAAACCCATTCTATCATTCCACAATCTGTAAGGACCTTTCCAACCCCACTCAACACAACCCATTTCACAATCCTCTGATCTTCAAGGATTCTTCCAAACCAACCCAACCCAAAAAACCCATTCTATCATTCCACAATCTGTAAGGACCCTTCCAAGACAACCCATTATTTCATTCTATGGTTCACAGACCTTCAAGGACCTTTCCAACCCAACCTTTCTATAGTTCCAGAACATTCAAGGACCCTCTCAATCCAACCTAACCTTTCTACGGTTCAAAGGCCTTCAAGCTCCCCTCCAATCCATTCCATCCCACACTTCTATGACCTTCAAGGACCCTTCCAACCCAACCCAAAACAACCCAACCTTTCTACAGTTCAAGGACCTTCAAGGACCCTTCCAACTCGACCCACCCCCCCATCTATGACCTTCAAGGACCCTTCCAACTCAACCTTCCTGTGGTTCAATGACCTTCAAGGACCCTTCCAACCCAATCCAATCCAACCCAACCCAACCTTTCTACAGTTCAAGGACCTTTCAGGACCCTTCCAACTCGACCCACCCCCTACTTCTATGACCTTCAAGGACCCTTCCAAAACAACCCAACCTTTCTACAATTCAAGGACCTTCAAGGACCCTTCCAACCCAACCCAACCTTTCTACAGTTCAAGGACCTTTAAGGACCCTTCCAACTCAACCCACCCCCTGCATCTACTACCTCCAAGGACCCTTCCAAAACAACTTTCCCGTGCTTCAATGACCTTCAAGGACCCTTCCAACCCAACCCAAAACAACCCAACCCAACTCTTCTACAGTTCAAGGACCTTTAAGGACCCTTCCAACTCAACCCACCCCCTGCATCTACTACCTCCAAGGACCCTTCCAAAACAACTTTCCCGTGGTTCAATGACCTTCAAGGACCCTTCCAAACCAACCCAAAACAACCCAATCCAACCTTTCTACAGTTCAAGGACCTTTAAGGACCCTTCCAACTCAACCCACCCCCCGCTTCAAGGACCCTTCAAGGACCCTTCCAACCCAACCCAACCTTTCTACAGTTCAAGGACCTTTAAGGACCCTTCCAACTCAAACCACCCCCCGCATCTACGACCTTCAAGGACCCTTCCAAAACAACTTTCCCGTGGTTCAATGACCTTTAAGGACCCTTCCAACCCAACCCAATCCAACCCAACCTTTCTACAGTTCAAGGACCTTTAAGGACCCTTCCAACTCAACCCCCCATATCTATGACCTTCAGGGACCCTTCCAAAACAACTTTCCCGTGGTTCAAGGACCTTCAAGGACCCTTCCAACACAACCCAACCTTTCTACAGTTCAAGGACCGCATCTACAACCTTCAAGGACCCTTCCAAAACAACCTTCCTGTGCTTCCATGACCTTCAAGGACCCTTCCAACTCAACCCAAAACAACCCAACCCAACCTTTCTACAGTTCAAGGACCTTTAAGGACCCTTCCAACTCAACCCACCCCCCGCTTCAAAGACCCTTCAAGGACTCTTCCAACCCAACCCAACCTTTCTACAGTTCAAGGACCTTTAAGGACCCTTCCAACTCAACCCACGCCAGCCATCTATGACCTTCAAGGACCCTTCCAAAACAACCTTCCCGTGCTTCAATGACCTTCAAGGACCCTTCCAACCCAACCCAAAACAACCCAACCCAACCTTTCTACAGTTTAAGGACCTTTAAGGACCCTTCCAACTCAACCCACCCCCCCATCTACGACCTTCAAGGACCCTTCCAAAACAACCTTCCCGTACTTCAATGACCTTCAAGGACCCTTCCAACCCACCGCCGCTCACCGGTAGAACTTCCAGATGCGCAGTTTGATGTCGGCCTCGTTGGGTTTCCCGTTGCTCCGGATGTGGCAGAAGATCTCCTTGATGCGTCCCACGCGAAAAGGGTCGGGGGCATCCAGGTTGCTGCCCTTGATGTACTCCGAGTACTTCCGGTAGTGCTCAGGGTGCAAATCTTCATCCACAGCCTCTTTTTTGGGGCGCTTGGCCGGGCTGGCGGGCTTCATGCTGGGGGGGCAGGGGAGGGAAAACGTTTGGGGTTCCCGTTTTCCCCCAGAGGAACGCCTCACAGGGCACAGCGCCCCCCGAATAACGCAACACAGAGCAGCGCTCCCCCAAAATTACTCAACTTAGAGCATTTTTACCCCAAATAACTCAACACAGAGCATCTTTCCCCCCAGAAAAACTCAACTTATTGCGCTGTTTCCCCACAGTAACTCAACTGAGAGAGATTTTTCCCAAAAATGACTCAATGCAGAGCATCGTTCCCCCCAAATGATGCTACGGAGCACAATTCCTCCCAAAATAACTCAACTTAGAGCACTGTTCCCCCAAAATAATGCACCACGGAGCATCTTTCCCTCCAAAATAAGGCAAAAGAGCATCTCTTCCCCAAAACAACTCAACACAGAGCATCTTTCTCCCAAAATAACTCCAAATAAAGCATTTTTCCCACCAAATAGATCAACATGAAGCATCTTTCCTCCAGCAGAACTCAACACAGAGCATCTTTCCCCCAAATAACTCAACTCAGAGCCCCGTTCCCCAGAAATAACACAATACAGGGAGTCTTTCCTCCAAATAACATAAAGGATCTTCCCCCCAAA